CATGGGCATTTTCTCATTTCCGAAAGGAATTTAAAATGAAAAAGAAATATTTGACGAAAGAAAAGTTTTAAAATTAACAGGCATTAATTAAGCAATCTTATTTGCTAGATTTTAACGGGAACAGAAAATAGAATTAAATAATATATTGTAACACACACACACAGCATTATGAGTAGGTACTACCCTCAGGTACTACCCTCAGGTACTACCCTCAGGTACTACCTAACGCCCGTATTCACAAACATTACTATGAGGTGTCACAGTGCGCTTGGACGTATAGGGTGACACACGAACCATTTGACCATTTGCTGCGTCACTTAAGTAAGCAAGCATCGTTTGTGAATACGGGCGTAAGTAGGTATTTAATTTTGTGTTAAGTAGTGCCAAACAAGATAATGTTTTCTCCCATATTTTATTTTATTTATTTATACTTCAGCACACAAAGTAACAAATGCACTGTGGCCACGAGTCAACCACGGGTCATGCAGAAAGAGTAAGGCGGTGCAAAAAAAAATACATTTTTGATAATAAACCTACTTACATAAGATTACATAAAATAAATAACATAATACAAATAAATATAATAGACATACACATAAATACATAAAAATAATAATATTATAGATGTACACATCACTCATGTCTGAGATAGCGCGAAAATGGAGAAAAAAGGTCATTCCTTGAAATGTTTGCGCAGAGCCTTTTTGAAAGTAAATTTGGAAGAAGGTTTGCGTAATTTGGCCAGAAGGCCGTTCCAGAGCTGTACAGCGTATTTTCACGCTATATCGCTTCCCTTTACACCACCCCCCAAAACGTTGGTCCGAATGTTACACAGATGTTTGTAAAATAGTGTAAATCCACTAACGTTTCCACACTATTAAGATTTATATGCTTACTTGACCACAAACGGTGTTAATGGGACCATAGGCATCGAAATTAGACATTAAAATGCTACACAATAAAGTTAAGCGTAGAAGCCTCTGTCCAATAAGCCTAGTTAGTTTTCCCTCGATTTCGTACGCGTGGATCCCGTTTTACCCCCTAAGGAGTGGAGTTTCGTAAAATCCTTTCTTAGCGGATGCCTACGTCATAACATCTAACCTGCATGCCAAATTTCAGCCCGATCCGTCCATTGGTTTGGGCTGTGCGTTGGTTGATAGATCACTATGTCAGTCAGTCAGTCACCTTTAAGTTATATAGGTATATTTTAGATTAGCCTACTTTTAGTTGGCCGATAGTTGGGTCGGGCTGTTAATCAGTAAGGACATGGATGAAAGTGCGCACATTACACCGATTTGGTATCGGCTGATTCTTCATACAAATTAGAATCGGGCCCAACTATCGGCCAACAAAAAATCGGTGGTCTACGCATAGGCTTTAATGCGATAAAGTTCAACTCAAAACTCGATTAAATTAAATAAACAATTATGTTAAAATTGATGGAGAAATCGGTGAACATACAAATAAATGAATTTAAAACTTCTTCCTTTGTTTGAAGTTGATTTGAGAGCAATTACTGCCTTTTTAAACTAACTACTGAGAACCTCTGTCCTAAGGTGACAGCTTTGATAGGAAATTGTAGAGAGCCTACTGTCTGATTCTATATTATTCCACCTATAGGATTATTAATTCTAAATATTGAGACTATTTAGATATGGTATCGATATAATAAGAGAAAAGATTTGACTGTTTGTTTATAATGGTTCTGGAACTACTGGACCGATTGATCCTACAATATACAGTACGACGAAGTTTGCCTTGTGTTTTACAAATAAATAATCCAGCGTTCAGAAAAGAACCTTTTAAAAACAGTTTCTGCTTTAAAAGCATAAATAAACCCACCGCGAAAGCATTTTAATTTAATCTTTTATTTATTAAGTACTTTTTAGCCGTCGCCTTATCTCCTGTCAGTGACAACGTAGCGCCGAAAGAAAGCGCCGAATGCAATCTCCACATTTCAAGCATTAGCTTTGAAAGCGTCCATTAGGTGTTTTCATAGACAAACTAGAGCCATAGAGTTAGCAAGCTGAAGGGGCAATGGACAGGGCACATAGTACGCAGAACTGACGGCCGATGGGGCAGCAAGGTTCTGGAGTGGAGGCCTTACTGGAAAGCGCAGCGTAGGACACCCTGACGACCTCACAAAGGTAGCAGGAAGGCGCTGGATGCAGGCCGCTACCAAACGGCCATTGTGGAAATCATTGGGGGAGGCCTATGTTCAGCAGTGGACGTCCTAGGGCTGAAATGGTGATGATGATAAAGATGAGATAGAGTTTGGCAGTCTTCCAACAGGGAGAGAAGGCGGGAGATCGTGTGGAGAGCTGTATCAGCCTCTACAACCGACGTGAACGCTACGACGTGATCACGACCGCTCTACTAAGAACAAAACGACTAAGAAGTAGGTATAGCCAAAGTGCGAAGACAGTAAATAAAATTGGGACTTGGTAAAGGAGGTTCTGTTTTCTTTGGAACAGAAAAAATATAAGTTTTCAAGAATATGATATGGTTGTAGCTCTTGGTTGTAGTCTCCCAGGATTTCAATTTCCTGGGAAGTCGGAGTGGAAAATGGGAAAGATGGACCTACAGTAGTCCTGAGTTCCTGACTACACAAGAGTTGCAGTGTAGGGAACTCACTCTTTTTCATGTACTTATAAATCCACGAGAGACAAGCCGCGGATTCGTAGAAAAATTCCCATCACTTCTTTTAGTAAACTCAAATGTTTTTCATGCTATATCTTGTCAAATAGTACCCCGCATGTGGCGTCTATGTAAAAGTTAGTGGTCTGTATTCGATTCCATCGAATGTTTTCGCGGGAAACCTTAAAAACACATCAATTCTGGCGCAAAGACCCAGTTTAGATTCGATTCTGATAAAATTAGTTTCGCTAGAGTTGCTAGTTTGACAGTTAAAATGTTTGTGGCTTTCCAGAAAGTTTTCGAATGGATTTTAATTTTGGAGAGAATATTTCCGAGAAAGTAAAAAAACAAACCTCAATTGACTTCGGAGCCAATAATATAATTGGCTCGAACCAATAATATTAAAGCCAGAAGTAAGTATTTAAGCCATGAAAGCACAGAAGTAATATAATCCATGTAGGTTTTGGCAATTTTGTTAGGTGCTAAGTTATACGTATTAGTTATATCTATTCACGTTTTATATTTTTAGCCTAGGCGCAGTCGGGCTGTTAATCAGTATGGAGATGTATGAAAGTGCGCACATTATACCGATTTAGTATTGGCCGATTCTTCATACAAATTAAAATCGGGCCCAACTATCGGCCAACTAAAAGTCGGTGGTCTGCCCGTAGGCAAATCAATCCTTTTTGTTTGATCACCTATAAAAAACACCCTGTATATTGCACCCTTATCATTCATTTACATTGTAAATGTAACCTAACATGATAGCGTCACCTCAAAAACCTTATTCCAAATATTTGGAGCTGACCAGCAACACCGTGTCTCTCAAAAATATCTTCTAATCCCTATAAATAAAGTCTAAAGTCCGATATCAATATGAAATGACAGTTCTCGTGATATGTCACATAATTGAAATAGGTTCGGTAGGTTCATTTTCTATAGAAAACTATCAAATGAGTGGCCCTAATATAATATGACATGGTCTTAATAAATAACTTGCATATACACTCGCGAGCAAAAATATGGAATCACCATATTTGTTTCGAGCGATCACAAAAACTAAATAACTTATAGAATACAAATAAAAATGGTACCATTTTAAAGGTAATATTATAATCTTTAAATTGATACCACAGATACATCATACAATATAGTCATTCAGTTTTTAAGATCGCTTGGAACAAAACACAAGGGGGTGATTCCATACTTTTGCTCGTAATTAAGTATAGAAATAGAGTCTATTTTGCAACAAAAATGTAGAGCTGAAATGGTTTAATTACCTAGATTATTCAATTTACTGGATTTTCAGCTTGATTTTAAAATAAATACTATACATAAGACAGGAATTGTTAAAATACTACAAACAAATCGCTAAAAACATTTTACTTAATATAGGATTCTAGACTAGGTTTGTAAGGTTTCAAAATACGGATTATTAATAAAACCCCATTAAAACAGTACAGTCTTTTTTGATTTGTTGATCATCATCATCATTTTCAGCAACAGGACGTCCACTGCTGAACATAGGCCTCCCCCAATTATTTCCACATCGTTCGGTTAGTAGCGGCCTGCATCTAGCGCCTTCCTGCTACCTTTATGATTTTTTTTATGCCTTATACTAAATAAAAAATAAGTGAGGTTACTGCGTTTATGTCTACTACGTATCAAAGGACGATTTTGCGCGCGTTTTGAATGTCAATTCAAAGTTCTATTGTCTATAAAAGCGATGCGCGTGAGCAATACAACAAGCGAAAGTGACCGAAAATGAAGGTGATTACACGTTTGTGATTTGTGGCTGTGTGAATTTAAAGTTTTTTTTGGATGTGCTAATTTTGGGACTGCTGAGTTTGGTTGGAGCTGTGGCAATTTTTGGGATTTTTTTAGTTTGTGTTTTGTTAATTTGAAGGGCTTTACGATCCATAAATCCATTGGATACCTAAACTAACATAATTTACCATTTACCGATATTAAAATTTTGACTCTATATTTTGGTCTTAATTCGTGTAGGATAATATAAGTCAGACAAACTTTTATAATGCAAATTGTTTATTTGCATACTTTAAAAATTTATTCACATAATTTCAAATGAATGCCAAAAGAAATTAACAATTTTCCATGCCCTTTTGATTCAAAATAATAATGTAGTTTCAACACAAATAACTTTGTAATGTAAGCCAGTGGACCTTTATTTATACTTTAACCAGGCTTAATTTAATACCCAATGAAAATATCATTGGTTTTCAAACGTATATGTACCGATGTGGGAAACATATTATTATTATTATTTCCGCGGCTTGTCATAGCTTAATAAGGCCATCAAGGCAGTCTTTGTTAAACAATTAGGTAAATTTTGATGTCTGATAAAACAAGTGCTGACCCTGGTCTCTCCCCAGGAACTGTTGGCTGTGATACCACTCCTGCTGAGCGCAGTGTGGGCGGAGGCGCCCGCTCCCTACCCTCCCAGCGGGTTCAGACCTGCTGGTCCGGCTTTTGAGCTCCCTCAAAAGGTTAGTATTATGGAAATTGTCTACCTTTCTGTTATTTAATCACTGTGTGTAAGAAGTCAGTGTGCTAGTCAAAGTGTGCCAATCAAAGAGAGCCAGTCAAAGTGCACCAGTCAAAGTGCGCCAGTCAAAGAGAGCCAGTCAAAGGGCGCCAGTCAAAGCTTAGGGCGCCAGTCAAAGTGCACTCTAGTCAAAGTACGCCAGTCACACTCTATAGAAAAACACTGACTGAGCAAATAATTACCTAGTTTTATATCCACGTTAAAGAACTATCAAAATGTAATTCATTTTCTTCTAATTGAGTAAACCAATCAATTCACAGGCAGAATTTCATGTAGTTTTATAAACTGCGAAATAAGATTTCTATCTTCGAAATCATTAAAAGCCAATGATTTATCGAAAAACCGACACCACATTTCATATTTACCAGACACAATTGAAAGATCTCGTCTTCCAGAACATCCAGAAACAACAGCAAGAGTACCTACCACCAGTGGAACCCAGAAGGCCCCAACCCCCAAGCACTTCCTACGGCATCCCCGAAGAAGATGTCTCAGTCCAGGGCCTGCCTACCTTGGAACAGCAGCCAATCTTCCAGGTATCCCCGATCAATGGTCAGGAGTATGTTGGACAGAACTTCAACACCGATATTAGGAACTTAGACGACAGTTACAAGCAAGCGCAGGTCGGTTTCATGATTAAAACAATAGCATTTTCTTTCCCTTGGCATTTACACTACCTAGATAAGTAAATAATAGTATTTAGCAGAAACTAGATGCAATAAGCCGAAGATAGGGCAAAATGGAAGATAGGGTAAATGAGGCCTATGTCCAAAATGGGCTGGTATAAGTTAATAATGATGAAATAGATGATACAGCAGACATTCTTATTAAATCAGCTCCTCTTATTCTAAAAATTATTTGCGATTTCAATTTGTTACAGTACCAATACCAGCAAGAACAATACCGCGAATACGAAAGACAGAGACAGCTAGAAGCAGCTCAAGCAAGGAATCGGGCTAATCAGTTCACTACTCCTCAAGTCCCCAGACAATTCGCTACAGAAAGTTCTACCAGCACCACTGAACCGACCTCTACTGAATCTACCACTGAACTTGATCTCAATGAGGGAGAAACTCTAGATGACAAGAAAGCCGATGACAAAAAAGAAAAGGTCTCGGTTGAAGTAACAAAGCAGAAGATTCAAGAATACCCAGGAGAACTGTTCCTTAGTTCGTTAGCTCAGTTGCAACTTCAGCCCCAGTTTGTTCCTTTCCAACAATTCAGTCAGATCAGAGCACCTTTATACTACCAGCCAATTGAGCAGGAGCCTTCCCAAAAGCAAGTGGCTGGGTATGACGCGCAAACCCATTTTGCTGCTCTCCCGTCAGTTTTAGCTCAACAACAATATTTGCAGGGAATCCAAAGCCAAGGCTTCGCTGCACAGAACCCTGCACTGTTAGTCGCAAGTCAACAGGAGCCAGCTAACATTGGTTTTATTCCTCAAAACCCTCAACCGTTCATCAATAACCACTACCAGCCAATCGTCGCTCAGAATCCCCAAAGCTTCTCTCAAGGTCAACCTGTTGTGGTACAGCCACAGAATATTAACCAGGATCAGTATAATCAGCCCAAACAAGAAGCTGAAGAAGATGATGAGCAGAATACCCAACAGCAACCTCAATTTGTTTACCAACAAAGTTATCAACCGCAAGAAGTGGTCTACCAACCCCCTCAAGCACAACCCCAGGAACAGCAGAATGTATTCCTACCCCAGGCTCAACTAGTAAATTATCCAAACCCTCTTGTTCAGTATCAAAATCCTCAGCAAATAGCTCAACCTCAGAACAGTTATGCTCAACCCCAGTTTGTTAATCCTCAGCAATACCAAAACGGCTACGTCCAACAGCAGTTTGTGGACCAAAACCAATTCCAGAATGGTCAGCAGCAAGTGCAGATTCCCCAGCAAGCTTACCAAAACCCACAGCAATTCCAGAACGATCAGCAACAAGCGCAAATACCTCAGCAAGTGTACGTAGATCCGCAGCAATACCAAAACACTCAACAAGGTCAAATACCCCAGCAAATGTATTTGGCTCCACAACAATTCCAAAATCCTCAACAGCAGATACCTCAGCAAGTGTACCAGGGTCAGCAATTCATGATTGGTCAGCAGCAGCAAATACCTCAGTTCCAAGGACAGGACTCCCTGCAAAGTGGTCTTGACATCAACCAGCAAGGCAATGATGTAAACCAGAATGACAAAGAGGACTCTGATGATGAAAACAACGAGGATGATGGTGCCACATCAGTAGCAGTGGCTACGGCATTTGGTGCAAGGTCAGTGGAAACTCTATTGAATTTAAATGATCTAACCATGTTTTCGGTCACGTAACTAAAGGATATGTTAATGGGACACAACAAAGGTCTCGAATTAGCATTTGTGGACATGCATCGGTTGAACAATGATAATTATGAATCATCTTGTGCAGCCAATGATCAAATGTTCGATATGATAGATGTAATTTGATGTATTATTAGAATGTGTTCGTGATCTGATTCTCTAATATTGCCAGACATAAATAAGAAGTTTAATTTTGAAGTGAAATCTGAAATTGAGATTTGCATTAGGTACGCTATTCGATTGTATTCTTTAATTTAATATTGCAAGTTTTGCAAGATTGAACTTTTACTGTGCTTACCAACTAGCAAAATTTGTTAATATTTTAAAGAACCCTTATGCGCTTTTTACGATATCCACGGTAAAAGTGAGAGAGGTCCTAATTCTACTATGCTGGAACCAAAAGTACGTTTCAAATAGGAGTGACGATTTGGTAAATTAGAGAGGGTCGCGCTCCTGCAGTTAAGACCAAATGACCTGATAATCCAAGCCCTTCTTTTGTCCAGGACCCAGCCTCGCATGTTCACGAGGTACGGAGCACCAGTGCCAGTGCCGAGTCAGTCTGCCGACCCTCAAGCCCCCNTGATAATCCAAGCCCTTCTGTCCAGGACCCAGCCTCGCATGTTCACGAGGTACGGAGCACCAGTGCCAGTGCCGAGTCAGTCTGCCGACCCTCAAGCCCCCACCGACGCAGAGGAGGTTAGTATCTATGATGATGTACGGGACTATTCCCACCTCTCGTTCCCACCGCTGCAACCCCTGTGTAGCCAGGATCTACAGCTTGACCGCCAATAAAAACCCAACCAATGAAGGTCAAGTTGATGATAATGTAGTGGAATATGCTAAGTGAATCTGGAAACTCATGATTGAAACCGTTTGATTTGTCTTGACTTGCAATTTTCATACAATTCAAACTAAGCCTTCGTGTTCTACGTTTTAGAAGTCATATTTCATTCAAAGATTAAGATTGGGCACCTGCTTTAAAGTTTTGGCATGCAAGATAGTCTAGCATCAAACTGTGATATCTTCCCAATAGCAAAGCCGTTGGAAATTCCCACTAAGCACACGTCTTTTAAGTTGTATGGTCAGTTTGGTTACACAATAAATAAAGTTTTCCACTTGTTACCATTATATGAAAAACTGAAGTTATTTTCTTTGATGTAGGAACCTAATTAAAATAAATATTTATCTTTTTAGCAATCCGAAGACAATGGTTCCGTCGCAGTGGCTAACGCGTTTTCCTCTGGCAGAAGAAAAAGTGCTAAATTGAGGTAAGAAAACTTATTACGACCTAATTAAAAAAATATAACTTTGTGTGGGGTACTTACAAATACTGTAGTTAGTTTTAATCTGCCTAAAATCTTATGAGTGTAATTACATACAGGTTGACTATTAATATTAAAGGAAAGTTCGTCCTTATAATTTTAGTTTAATCTGCCTAAAATCATAAGAGTGTAATAAAATTACAATATAGGCTGGCTATTATTATAGGAAAGTTCGTCCTTAGTTAGATCGATCGATTTATCAATTTTATTCATAAGAACATGATGAGAAGACAAATTTCTCTATTATTATAGTTAGTACGCAAGATGCCGTAGTGTTGTTTTATTTTTTGTTTGTTCAATTAAAAAAACCGGTTTAGAAAAATATTTTCCTATCCAAACCAAGCTTTGAAAAACCGCAGTGCAAGCGACTAACGAATTTATTTTCGTTGCGGGAAAAAGCTAATATTTTACATCCGGAAAATTCCTTTGGGCGATTTAAATATTGAAGTAAGCTTCCAAGTTAGTGGGCAGAAGCTCGAAGCTCACACGCGGCCAAAAAAGCTTTCTTCGATCGTTAACTTCTGTCTGTGTATACTGGGTGTGGAAATAATTTTATAAACTTACGTTTTCCCGAAAATTATCCGAAATTTTTCTCGCCGTAAAAACCATCCTTGGACTTCAAAGAACATTATAAAAAAAGTTAAATTTTGGTCCAGGCGTTGTTGAGTTATGCGCTTACCCTACTTTTTGCGATTCATTTTTATTATAGGTATTATTAATATTAAATTCCATAAAACTCGAGTAACTAGTGTACTTTTTCTATTATCCCTGGTACCTATGGTATTTGAAAGCAAGAAAAAAATCTCGATAGTTAAAAATATACAGCTTTTTTTATGAAACCTTGGTAGAGTCAATATTACTTACCTAACACCCTGTATATGAATGGAGGTTAGCTATCTAAAATTGCAGAATATTTTTCCGAAACATTTCTATCGATGTAATAGTGATGCACGACTCATTGAAANACTGCGGCTTACCTTAGATAATTCAATATCCACATCATACTTACACCACTTATACACACATAATACCTAAATACCTATAGCAATAAAGATTTTAAACAGATCTCAAAATCGGAACATATTGTACAGCCTTACTTAATAAAACTTTAGAAGAAACTAGGATCAGTCAAGAGATTAAATGGATATACTTATTCAATAATATTTATCCATACTCTAACAACAACTTTAAGTCAATATGTAAGTAAGCCAATATTTTAACAGTTGCTTTGACATCTAAAGGAAAATCTCGTAACTATTTGTCCTTCAAGTTATTATTTTATTTATCAGCCGGTCTCAGTGATAATCTCATTATATCATTTGCCTACCTGCTATTTTTATCAATCTTATCTTTTTAATCCGCAAACACACCTTTTCTGCCGCAAACATTTTCATATGAATGTCAATTGGCACTAATATTGTTTACACCTATTTATGTATAAAATAGCTTTTCGCCCGCGGCTTCGTCCGCCTGAAATTAGACAAAATTCATTAGTCACAGAAAACCTTTATCGCGCGCGTCCCTGTTTCTAAAACCGGGATAAAAGCCCAGGACTCAACTATGTCTCATCAAAATCAGCTCAGTGGTTTAGGCGTGAAAGCGACACAGACAGACAGAGTTACTTTCGCGTTTATAATATGAGTAGGGAAAACAACCCAATTAAGTGTTGCTTCCCTTTGTCTGATAACATTCTTAGCTCCCGTTACTGTGAAGTTCACCAACCGACGTTATCGGGAATACTGGGCATGCATTAATTACTCAACTAACTTAATTACTCATACAACATTGGTTTCGTCACTCGATACGTCGCGTTTACATTTTCCAAAGAATTCGATTTCCCTGTTATTATTTGCCTGAAATGAAACCTGACACACGCAAATTCAGCTTTATACGTTATTTATAATACTACGTACGTCCAAATATGCTAAGGTGGCAACCTCAAAATTTTGAATTGCAGGTCTAAATCTAGAATGCACTATAAAATGGAACTGCATAATTGTAAAACACAACTAGAAACAATCAATTACACATCACAATATTATCCATCACTTGAATTGCATAATCAAGGATTTATTCTGAAAATAAACAATACCTGAGATTCGTAGTAACGGAGACTTTTTCTATAAAGCAATAAGTCCGGATATTACTAAAAATAAATATCAAGGACAACCTTTTTTTATAGCATGTCCTGTGAAACCAAAACCACAGAATAAATAATAGTAGTACCCCAAAACGTATGGCGACCTTATATTAAGCCATATCCGACGCCTTAGGTCGTAATTATAGTCCGTTAATAACTAACAACACAAAAAGGAAAATTGTGTATGTCATATTATGACAGTACACAAAGCGACATAATCTATATTTGAGTGCACTGGGTGACGAAAACGGACACTTTCTATTGTACTCGTATGGTAGAAAGTTTTAGTTGCGAATCTATATTTTATTATTATTATTTATTATGTATTTGGACAGTGTATCATCATTGTATTTCTTTAATCTTTAAGTTTTACAACATTCTAGTGTCTTAATTTCTCAAAATTTGAGTTTGAATATTCTAATGCACGGGTGAAATTTTTCCCCGTGACAAAATATCTCTCTTTTATACTTTTATTTAAAAAGGGAGACGTCGTAGTACTTATTCTTACCTATGGAGAGACATACTGTCAAAAGAAACCCATGCGCGCGCGCCTCATAGATTATTATCAATCTATGATAATTCAATCCGAATTTCCAATGTCAACTAATGAATATGGTAGAATGATAAAACGTAATTATTTCGCCATAATACAACACTGATGGCGCATTGTGCTTACATACTTAATTATCATGATGATAGCAATTTGCTTTATCAACAAAATTACTAGCATCGCGAAAAATATGTTATTTTGCGTTTTATGATATCCGCTTTGGTACTTTTTGAAATGACGGCTTTTTTCATGATATTAGTACAACTGGTGAAAAACAAACCTTTACCTACAACTTATAACAATTTCCTGATTAATATTGTACTTTATAACTAACACATCTCATATTATTTTGAGCATAATTAATATTCTTGTTAAAAATGTACAACAGTAACTATTTTCATGAAATAATATTTTCAAATAGTATTACATGCTTAGTCAAGTGTCTAGTTTACATGCTCTTTGGTTATAGAAACATGTAGATTGTTTTCAACAATTTTTAGAAATCTATCTTGGAATCCCTTTACCTGTCTTCAAATAGTACAGGTACACCACGTTGTAACTTATAGATCGTTTCATCCACGAAGACGCACTCCACCATTGTTCCGCTAATTTTTTAGTGTTATCGGTACACGCTAAATTATCCATGAGTGCACACGCACACTACAATAATGACGCTCTAATTGCTCGGATCAAACTCCCCGCACCCCGCGCTTCCGTCGACCAAAAAGTGGTGGGGCGTGTCTTCATGGATGAAATGATCTATAACCACCGTCAATTTTTAGAGACAACTTCTTATTCCTTAAATGTTTGTTCCCAGCCGTTCAGAACGAGAGAGACAGAATCAACTGCAGAAGGCCGTCGTACGAAGAACCAACGCAAGCCAACGGGCTGTCCGTCGTGTCGCTGCTCAACGCGGAACTTCTCAGCAGAAAGGTCATAGATGAGGTAATATCATTAATTTATGTTACCTCATAAACCCTCTTGACTAGTACTCATACTCATAAACCCTCTAGTCAAAGAGCCCGATTATCGAATAGTCTGTTTCATCTTCCAGCGACTTAAATTTTTTTTGTTATAATTCTTAAATGTTCCTTATCATTTATGTCATTAGTTCCGGTATTCTTCTTTAAACCTAGATTATTTTAAAGCTAGATCATTTTACGATATTAATGTGAATTACACGGGATAATAATCTGACTTATAGACCAGGGTGAGAGACATCCCTTATCATTTCGAGACTTTAAAGTTCGTATTAAAATTCGTGTCATTACAACAAAACATAAACCAAGTCTGATAATAAAATTGGTCTCATAAGACGGCTTAAAACCGTGTTTTGACTAGATTCAATATTCTGAAATTTTCCACTATTATTTACTACAAAGTCATTGACTGACGTGGCACTTCGTCGAGTCTATTTTTCTCGACTTTTTTTCAATTTCATATCGCAGCAGGACATGTCATCGCTAAATTCGGCGACGCGTCTAGCCATGTTAATCTGTATGACTTTTGACACCTCGTCGCACTTCCACCTATTGTAGACATACCATAATTACATTTAAAATAACTTACAACACCTCTTCTTCATCTTTTTACAAACGGCTTCGTCATTCTCCGTCTGCTGGTAAATTTATTTTTATTTTATTTTATTTATTACGGTATACGGTAATGAATTTTAATGTTTTTAGTTGAACTTGACTAATTTTTCATTTTTGAACTAAATATTTTCCTACCTACGTAAATCATATGCTGATACAATATTGTGGTGTCACTAAGGTAGCCGGGGATCGGGTTGGAAGATAAAAATCTACTTAAATAGTGTACATAATACAGTTACTTTTCTCTTGGCATAAACGATCAAACGCGGAGCTGAGTAACCGCAAGCGAAAAGGTGGAATATGTGCTTAAAAACTATACTTATTAGAACTCCTTTTCTCTTGGCACAGACGATAAACGTATCTGACGCGGAACTCAGCAACCGAAAGCTAGCGAAGATCAATGACGTGTGCGACTCCATCAAGCAGCAGCTACTGATCCTGGTCGAGTGGGCCAAGTACATCCCTGCCTTTACGGAGCTGCATCTAGATGACCAGGTGAGAATGTAGTCTTTATGTCGTTGTGATAGATGTTACTTTGCAATAAAAAGTATAATGTGATGTGTTGTTGACTGTACCATAATGATTGTAAAATAACCTTTACTGATTTTACTCATGGAGAGTGACGAAATTCACAGGGTAAATTGTGTAGTATTACGTCTAATCTCGGAGTGCAATGTACTGCGGAATTCGTGCCAAATTGAAATAATGTAATGTGCCAAAAGTACTAGAATGTTTATAAGAAGAAATTGTTTACATGGAAAAAGTGACTCATTTTAGTTGCCTAGTTTTTTAAACTGGAACGTTTTAAGACAAATATAAACAGTCATGTGTGTATTTTTCCGCCATTTCTCTGCACTGAGTTTGAACAAGCACTTAGCTATTGAGGAGCAGCCACCGTCCTCCTATCGTTCAAGGCACACGATCCATTTTGAAACGTGTCGCGATTATGCGGATTGCTCCCGTGCCGACTATTTGATTGTCGTCATCAACTATCGGTCAACTAAAAGTCTGTGTCTGCGGGGAGTCTAAGCCGTGTGTCGATATTACCAGGCTGCTCGCGTAGATATTTTGACTTTGCTAGATTGATGGACCGCTAAGTATGCACGAGCAAGCTCACATTTTTTTTACTTATTAAAGCCATATGCATATTCTTTATTACAATGAGTTAGGTATTACTTTGGTGTATCAAAGCTTGGTAGTTCCCATAGAGATATAGTAGAGAGATGGCAACTAATGCACTGGGTTCGAAACTCAGTGTCGCATTACAAATTCACGCACACAAAGTAATCAAAATATGTGCTCATTATCAACTGCGGTATCAGTACTCAACGTTCGAATAATCTTTAGTACTACGCAAGCAATGTATGACGTCAGTGCTGTCACGAGCAATGTGTTCTGTTTTTGGGCATATTGCTGCGACACCGGCCCCGCCCCCTTGTCACATCTCCCTTTAGTTACTGTGATCTGTGGTATAGTCTGGTCCGTGAGCACGTAGAATTTTGTCCAATGACCCCAAGCTACCCATCCTTATCGCTCGCGCGTAATTATGTTGCTGTCGCGCTCGCACACTCACTGCGGGCGCCCGTCGCACAGTCGCGACAGCATTATAATTCCGCGCGAGCGATAAGGATGGGTAGCTTGGGGTCATTGGATAAAATTCTACGTGCTCACGGACCAGGCTTTAGTTCCTTATTACAATGGCAGTAGCGTCTTGACATTAAAGTTTCCCTGTCGCCTGCAGGTGGCGTTGCTTCGCGCGCACGCGGGCGAGCACCTGCTGCTAGGCTGCGCGCGGCGCTCGCTGCACCTCAGCGACGTGCTGCTGCTCAGCAACAACTGCATCATCGCCAAGCACAACATCGGTCAGTAGTAGTATTCCCAGGAAAATAGCCTATACTTGACGCTCGGAGCAGGTAATGTGGGGCTCGAGGCCGCCGAACCCATTAGGCCTCAGCCTCGAACTTAGCGGGCGGCGGGGCGGCGGCGGCGGCGGCGCGGGAGCGGCAGGATCTTATGCGTAAAATCAAATAGACCGGTTCTCGAAAACAGCGGCGCCGGAGCGGGCAACGAGCGGGCAGCGGCGAGCGAGCGGGCAACGAGCGGGGAGCGCACTCCTTCTTTTGCCCACAATAAATCGAGCGTTAGGAATAAATTTGAATCGAAATAAAATTGTCGCCGTTGTTCAGACATTTCGTTTGCGAATAAAAACAAATATCTCGACAACACAACCCCGAACACAACACTTCGCCGCTAAAGCGCCGCGCGAGCTGCCCGCTTGTTTCGAGAACGGGTCTGCGTTGCCCGCCCCGCTCCCGCGCCGCCGCCGCTCCCGCCCCGCTGCCCGCTAAGTTCGAGGCTGAGGCCTTAAAGATCGCTTTCGTCAATGACTTGTGGTTGTGGTTGACGCCACGAGTACTACAAACGAACAAAATACCCTTCACGGTTATCCCACCCTCACTCAAGGAGGACCGATAGGATTAACCGAAACCACAGAGTAATAATACCGTTCGATGTCAGTATTCACTTAAGTTCTTTATAAAGGGGATTAAATCATATTTTAAAAAATATCTGCCAATGACATTCTTTGCATTTATTAAGCTAATAACTTTAACTCGGTCGGCCAGCAATAGATTATGGGTTGAAGCTAACCTGAGGCAGTTGATTTATTTAAATCGTATTTGATTTACGTTTAAGGTAAACTTTGCAACAGGATTTTCCTTTTATCTCACAAACTTTATCATTTTTTTATCTCGTGTACAGCTCACTAAAATGGGAACTCCCCACTCCCATGTTTGTGTATCATTTTCTCCTCAAATTCATCAAAGCAACTATTGTTTACAGACGGGCGAATGGACATCGACATCAGCATGATCGGCATGCGCGTGATGGACGAAATCGTGAAGCCTCTGCGCGAAATCGACATCGACGACACAGAGTTCGCGTGTCTCAAGGCCATCATATTCTTTGACCCCAGTAAGTGTTATATCACAGAATAATAATAAGTACTACGTACAGAAGTTTTACTTCGCGAAGGCATTTAAAAAAATGTATGCTCAATGTCATTAACAATATGGTGTAATTTAGCTTGTCTCAAGAGTCAAGCAACATTTTGTTGACAAACGTCAGTGATCGGTACTGCGCCGAAGCTATAGGGCTGACTTCGGTAAAATGATGTGACGTGAGGTACCAAACCGCAGAAAATGGCGGAGGAAATACATGATTTAGCATGAATTATCATGAATAATATTAACTACTTATTTACCTATCAGTGTCTTGAGGCAACTTAAAAAAGTACATTCTGTGTTTTTATTATTATTTAGGCAGTTAAATACTGCACAGTATTTAGTACACCATTTTCTTTATTTTTTTTTCCATCTTAAACAAGAATACGCGTGCGTGAGTCAATGTTCGCTCGTATGTGAGGCCTTGTCAAATAGTAATCCTGTAGGGGGCCATCTTGCGTGTTTTGTTTTCGATGTAAACTCGCGGAGATGAACAGACCTGATAAAACCAAGTTCTACAACGGGACTATTCCCACCTCTAGTTCCCACCGCTGGCTGTGTAGCCAGGATCTACAGCTTGACCGCCAATAAAAACCCAACCAGTGAAGGTCAAGTTTGTCCCGGGGGAAAGTTAAACTGTCATTGGACCCGCAACGAAATTAATCAGAACATATGAGGTGTTCGAAGTTAAGGTTCGACTTCTCTCCATTGCAAAGCGGACAGACAACAGTTCTACAGAATGATTGGGATTTCGCTTTTTCTGTGGCTCTTAAAATGCACTTATTATTCAAACCGATATTTACATACCTTCACGTGTCTTCAGTCAGCGAAAATCAGTGTATTTTTGCAAATTAGTTTTTTGTCTGTTTTTACCAAACGTTTTACGTCTTTGACCCGAAATTAGTTTAAATGTTTAATTAATAATACGTTTTTTGTGAGTTGCCTCTAGTAAAATATGTTAATAATTTGGTGCTATTTGACAAAAGGATTATTTTTAGCACGTTTCACACCACAATATTATTGTCTTCTACTATTATTTGTATTAACTAAGGTCACAACTCACAATCCACGTGTAAACTCAGCATATTATTAGCATATGCTTAATCAGAATGATAAAACAGATACTTTTAAAAGGCATACCTAATACGGTCAGTCATTTGCACGACGGACTGATCTGACATGGCTTAACATGGCCTCCGATGTCCGAATCATTATTGTATTTCTTTTTGGACATTAACAGCTTACTGTTCACTCTAGGACTTCACCGCATTGTCTGCATTTATAATGTTCCACCCACGTAGTTAGCAGGGCTAGTCTGGATTAAATCAAAAGTTCACACAGTTTATAAATCTCGTGGAATACAACTGAGCTACATTTCTAAGTAGACATTTCTCTCCGCAGACGCCAAAGGCCTGTCCCAGCCGCAAAAGATCAAACAACTCCGCTACCAAGTCCAAATCAACCTGGAGGACTACATCAGCGACCGGCAGTACGACGGCCGCGGCCGCTTCGGCGAGCTGCTGCTGTGTCTGCCGCCGCTTCAGAGCATCACGTGGCAGATGATCGAGCAGATACAGTTTGCCAAGCTGTTTGGAGTCGCGCACGTCGATAGTCTGCTGCAGGAGATGCTACTAGGAGGTGAGAATCTGACAAAATGTTAGTTAATATGAGTTGGACACGCCAGACGATCTAGCACGTTCCTGGATCGTCTGGTGTTGAACCGGGTATTTAATTTTCTCCACCAATATTGAGCCTGTCATTGAATGCCCAGAGAGATACGCGAGAGATAAGCGGTCTATGTACAGCAACGGTACATCAACCTAAACACTGGGATCTTATATGTATAGTATAACTACAGGGATATTTTGCAATAAAAATGTGTAGTTTGACGTGCTGTGGACTGTACGTCGCATAGCTTCATTCATAAATCCTTATCCAATTTACAGTGTTTTATGGATACTCTGTGATTTCAAAACACCATCGAACGTTTTCCAAAGAACTTTATGCAGACAATATCGTTTCAATGTCTAGGGCACAAAATTACCATCCAGTTTATTCATTCAAACATCAAAATAAGCCTTTTGGTTGTTCCGTTAAACGTCATCAGAATCCGCTACACCTCAATCTCCTAATTAATTAATATGTTGTCCCCCAGGTGCATCAACAGACACAGCCATGGAGAGCATGGAGGAAGCAGCGGCTCCGAGCGCGTCACCCTTGGGTGCGTCGCCGCCACTAGTACCGCATGTGCCGCTACCCGAAGGCTTCCTCGAGCCCGCGCCCTTCAAGCAAGAGCCCAACATGTGAGAACGCATTACTTTAACGCGATCGCACAACGCGGACTAACCTGGTTCAGGGACGGCTTTAGACACTGTGACGGGCTTTATTTTTATACTTGTAAAACTGTACGGAGAGTATGCAGGAGCCTGTAAACGATCAACTTTTGAGAGGAAAATTTTATTATTGCCATTTCTTTCATCGGTTCAACTATTCTCTATTTGTAACCAAAAAGATATAAGACTAACAAATATAAAAATGTCAAACTTATCATCCTAATACCTATTTATTTTGTTAATCGTTTACAAGGATATATTCGACTTCTTACCAACATGTAACAAATTAATATGAAGATGTGTCTTACTTGTTGTATTGTAAACACTACTTTGGTAGTGGCAATGGGGTAGCTTTCAAATACTATTTTTATCACCAAATAACTACATACGTAATGTGTACATAATCTTATTGATTGCACAGACAGACAATGAAAGACTTTGTATCCAGCACATTTGTGTACCTAACCGATTCAAAAACGAAATTCTAAATTATCACACTTTCTAATAGATCTCATTGAAACTAATTTATATTGCTTTTTATTAAAATGTGTTAACCGGTGTCCGGTGGTGATGGTTTTTATAATTATGGGTGGTTCTTTGGTTACGGAAAATAAAAACTGTGGTTATAATATCGTTTTCCTATCTGTAACCAGGAGTCCAGAGCCAACATCATTGAGGACCTCAGATATCACACTATTATAATGTAAGACAATCGATTCAGATAACATTGTTCGTCTTCATTGCAAAAACAATGCTGCTACCTTGAAATTAGGTATAAATTAAATAGTCAAAATTTGTCATAGCAGTGATATTTTGTTACCCTATTTATATGTAATGAAACATGCGTTTGAAGACCTTAACTTTGTATTTGCAACATTTTATAGCTTTTAGTAGGATTAACCAGAAGGTGCCCGTTATTTTAAGATAAATTTAATATAGGTGTAGGTGTTTACTACTTTGCCAAGAGACAAAATTATTTATAGAATGTTTACATTAAATTGTATTAGATGATAGACTTACCCGTAAAGTGCAATTAATTATGTAGGCTGTGTAACGTAATATTTTCTTATCAATATCTATAGCCCTGATGGGTTAATTGGTGTTTTGTAATATTTTTCATTTTTATAAAGTACTTTTTGAGTTTGTTTTTAATCTGGACAGGTTTAATTATGTTGTTTGTAATATTGTAAACAGGGAATGGATATTTATAAATATATTGTTGTATAGATGTTGATCATAACCCGTTATCACAGCTAACGTATATTACGATAATTATACATACATGATTGTAGACTGTATCTACATATTGTAGAATTTTATACTTAGGAATTTATTATATTATATACACGGTAGAGTCAATATTTACGAAGTTGTTTATATGAAATGCTCAATGTAAGTTCCCTTGCCAGTTATTTGGTATTTTAAAAATTAAATCGAGGTGAAAGTTTATTACATTAGACTACTAGTATGATTTTTGATTGGTTTGAGAAGTTGTATATTATTTTAATGTATAATTAGTAAGTGCCTTATATCCTACAGGTCGTAGGTTGGTGTATTGTTGATGTACATACAATGTTACGATTTTTAGTAGAATATATTTTAATAAATAATCTGTTACCAAAATATCTCTTTCCTTTACCAGAATCTACTAAAAAGACTACTTTAAAGAAGCTCAAAAGAAACGTATAAAATCAAGTAAAGAATATAATATTAAGATTACAAATAAGTAACATTTAAAAGTATCACTAAGAACAAATCGTAATTATCAAAGATCCATTAATCGCCTGGGCTCTGGTCGTGCGTGGATGGTTTCTGGGAGACATCTACGTAGCCTTTCCTCCTGTTACCTCTGTTCTTGCAGTAGAGGTAAAGCACCGATAGCGCCGACACCGCAGACATCGCCAGCAACGGGATATAGACGGGAAACATCACCATAGGCGCGCGTAGATACGCGATTAAAGAAGATTCTTTATCAATCTTAAAATATTCACCCCAATACTGTTTAGCAAGTTTATTTATCAAAAAATCGTGCAGTAACGTATGTCAAAGAAGTAATTCCTGTCTTTCAATTCATGTGACAAGGAAGAAATCCATAGAGGAATCAAGCATAGATTATCACAGCCTAATTTGGTTTACAAATGAGTTCATTAGGAAAGAATTTAAACTACTTAATTATTTACAAAAATATCATTTATTTGATAATCAATAATTATTCATCACTTATAATTACTCTACAAATAGCACCCAGTTTTGTCAAGTAAGACTTATTATAACGACTTAATTATTAGTAAGGCTATTTTTGCTGCAATACACTCAAACATTTAAATTATGTTAGTTACTTTAAAATTGATTTAAAATCAATCTTAATTATGTACGTACATAACATATTATTTCACCAAAAAAATGCACAGCTTAATGTGGCTTATGACTAATACATATAGCCGACATATATAGGAATCACAAAGTTCATGATCTGAATTAAACGTAATGACTACATCAAAATAGGATAAACTAAACTTTAGTAACATACAATTTGGAATTTTAAGATCCAACAAATATACTTTGGCACTTTAAAAACAACGACAGTCAAATATCTATCAGCAACTAAAATAGATTCTAAACGGCTACTGGTCTAAATACTAAAATTAGTAATACAGGCTTGAAACTTGAGTTTATTATCGTTTTATAACACCTCAAATGATTTGACTGAACACTTGTACTAAACAACAACATCTTGTTACGTATAATAATAATCACTATAATATATCAAGAGATGGACCTAGCTTTACACCTGGTGGTGTGAACGCCTACGTAACAGAATTCTGTGTCGATGCCGTTTTGTTGGAGATAGTGCATCCACTGGATTTGCTTCATCGATGGCCGGTCTGTGTCGCTTTTCACCTCGACGAACCTTATCTGAAATAATAAGGCGCATTTTCTTAGATTGATTAACCTATTTATTGGACTTATTCCTATTAAGGAGAGGTTGTGGTTGTCAATTAATGAATGTACACACGTACGAATTTGTGAGTACTACGCGTTGCACACGGCACTAAAATGCCGTTATCATGCCGATAATACCGTTTGCCTATAAACACCGATCGTTAGTTAGCTATTGTTCCCGCCAGGTCTCAAAATGTGTACTCATATCTATATATATAAAAGAAAGTCGTGTTAGTTACTCCACTTATAACTCAAGAACGGCTGAACCGATTTAGCTGAAAATTGTCAGGGAGGTAGTTTAGAGCCAGGAGAAGGACATAGGATACTTTTTATCCCGTTCGAAATAAAAAAAAAGTCTGCTTATTTATTGCCATTAAGGCGGAACAAAGTTCGCCGGGTCAGCTAGTTATTACTATTGTTGATTGTAAGCACTTAAAACTGCTAGTCTGCTACTCTTTTCAGACTATAAGCTTGTTTGACACGCCTCAGAATATTATGTGACAAATCCACGTCATACAAAGTGCCCCTCCCCCTCCCCATTTAGAAAGCTTATCTAATTTAAAAAATATATCTTAGAAAGCTATCTATTTCTAACTAGCTGACCCGGCGAACTCTGTTCCGCCTTAAAGGCAATAAATAAGCCATCGCAATTTTTCCTTATTTGCTCACCGTTTAGACCTACCCTGGACTTTGACAAACATTTCAAAACCAAAATCAGCTCAATCGGCCCAGCCGTTCTCGAGTTTTAATCAGAGTAACGAACAGCAATTCATTTTTATTTATACTATAGATAGATAGATAGATAATTTCTAACATTCGAAAGTTAAACTATTTATTTATTCTATTTTATTTCTTCGTTTCGAAAAAAACATACAGCTTAAATTTAACACAGATGACATATTAAAGGACCCTCACCTGGTTAGTCCTAGTGTTCCACAGCGTAAGGTCGGGGAATCCCGAATGCGCGTGTCGGTAGTCGCGCGCGAGTCGCCGGCATAACGCCGCCAGCGCGCCGCCGCCGAGGCACGTGACCACGCCGCACACTTGCTCCCACGACATGCTGTCGCGGCTGAGGCCCGAGTGCTCAGCTAAAGGAACAAATAGATATATTGCTTTAGTAAAAAATAAACTTTGTCCCATAACCCATTAATAATAAAAAATTACACCCTAGTTGAACACTGTTTTAAAGTGACGTTTAGTATGGAAATATCACTTTAAAACTGTGTTCAACTAGGATCTAACTTTTTATTAAGTGAATAATATATGGGACAATGTTCAGCGAGCGTATTGCGATGTCGTCTAAAGTCAAGATTCAATATTGGCACGACCCGTAATTGAATATGCGATTTGCACGATTAGATGGCAGGAGTTTTTCCTTTTAAATAGGTAACGCTTTAACATATTATGTGGTGCTACGACCTGCAGGCCTACTTCGAAACGCTGTTTAGTTTACGTAGTTTCGGGGCTGTCTGTCACCGTTGCTTACATTAGCATCTTGCTTTGAGTGAGAGGGACGGCAATATTCGAAACTTTGGATAACAATATGGTAACCCTGCTCTGTTTGTAAAACACTATATTTAAAGAACGTAAGGGTGAAACGAGTTAGGTAGATTACTATAACATAATTAATTATGTATAGTATAGACCTGCAGAGAAGGCAAACATAAGTACAGTCATTAGTGTTACTGCACCAAAACGATTATCTACTTACTTTCAGGTCTAGTACACCACTTCGACTGCATAATCCACAGCAACTCTTCGACCGAGGAGCGCTCTATCAACGACAGCCGCGCCTCTATCGACTCGCTCCTGTTCTTATAGAAGCTTTCGCAAAACAAATCCAGCGGCAATTTCTGGAAGCGAGTCAGGAACACGCCTACGCAACCGGGAGGCTTCCAGTATATAATATCCCAGAATAATAGGAAGAACATCGTCGTTATAATCCTGCCTTCCCAGTGCATACCTAAAAAACATAAAGATTATTTTCATACTTACTAATAACATTACTAATAACAATAAATAAATAAAAATTAAGCAATAACAACTTTACTAATCACTAGGGCGAAAAACCGGCTCTTAATTTTATAATTAGAAGCAACTAATCTTGTTAATCAAACTGTTTAGCACTTTATCTGCCTGATAGAAAAGCTGACTATCTAATCATGTTCAAAGACCATCAATATTCTAAATAAATACATTAAAGCTTACCATTTGTGAATTCGCCTTTATTTAAATATTCTGACAGGCAGTACTCTTCCACATCGTGAACGGTTCTCTCGCCAGACTGCCGCGTCTCAAACTTTAGTTTGCCTTTCTGCTGTGTTCGACTGAAATTAAAAGAGATTTATTAAAATAGATAAAATGAAATTTAAAATACTGTGATTGGCTGTGTTTTCAGAACGATTTGACAAAAACGACTCATTCAAATATTTTCGAACTCTAGCCATTGTGATTTGTGATACATGAAATAGGTACACAATATCACTATACAGGGTGATTGGGATACTCGATAACTCGACCTATTCCTTGAAAGTTGTTATACTTGAGGTCACTAAAGGTCGAGTATCCCTGTCACTCTGTATAAACATTTGATATACAGATACAGGCAGATTTAATTACAAGCTTTTTGCACTTACTCCATTGGCTGCTTGTAAATATGAACGCCGCGCAAGTTTTTCTCCAATATTTGTTCTTTACTAGCATAGTCTAGAAGTTCGCTCTTCATTTCTTGGTTTGCTGTGTGCTTTGCGACTAGTTTAGCGCGGGGTCGCATCACATCTTTGGCTTCTTCTGATAGGTTAGATCTGAATCCTTCTAATAATATTTCAGCCGCCTAAAATAATTATTTATACATAATCTCTCCAAGTAATGATTAAAAACTGCATATTACGCGGGCGAAGCCACGGGCAAAAGCTAGTGGATGAATATTATTTACAATTCAAGCATTTTCCTAAAGTATTACAAACTTACTTCTTCTTTTTGGTCACATTTTTGCAAAACCAAAGCCATCTCAGCATACCATTCTGCTTTCTTGTGTTGTCTGAATGAGTCCTGTGATATCAGCAACTGCAGTATTTCAAGAGCTGACTGATATTTCTTGTTTTTTTTGAGATCTTGGATGCCAGCTTCAAGAATTTTGATATACAAATTTAAAGGTGTATAACGTCTCAACCACTCTGGAATAGACTTTTGGCTGTAAATTAGAGTAATTTTACTTGTTAGTTATGATAAAGTCGCAATAAAACATTTTTTACTCACGAAACAAAGAATATTCACCGTTGTACTTCAATTTCACTTGTTCCTTTGTATACTTCAAGAGATTCTGTTGCAGTTTTGACTTTTTTGTCTAAAACATCTTCAATCAGGAATGCCTCATAAACATCAAAGGCCTTTACATAACTAAAAAAAAGATTAAATATTAATATAAAAGTAGGTGTGGATAATAACATAAGTCAGAGGTCAAAATGATAGGATGCAAATATTATTTATATGATGCAGGAATTTTGATTAAATACTCAATGATGCATTATGTACTTATCTTAATACATATGGCCATAATTATTTGTTTAATACCTACCTTTCAAACTCAGCTCTCTCTCTAAATACAACACTTGCGTCATCAAGCATGTCGTCCTCCACTGGATATGTCTCTCTGTTTATTTTGTCATACAGAAGTGTTAACTCTAAATTCTTTTCCCTTATTATGTTATAATTAATTCCAAGATACATCAGAATATACAACTTGTATATTGTTCTTCTTGCTACATCTGATAGTTTATAGCAAGGACCAGCCTTTGAGCTCATGCTGAAAGTGAATATTATACATCAAACATTGATTTACGTTGTCAAATTACATTTACGGCGCGCGCGCACGAGTGACTTTTGCTACCGTAACAGTATGTCTCTCTTTTTTTCTTTATAAAAGTGTAAAAGAAACAGATATACTGTCAAGGATAATACCAGGCCTGTTCATCTCCGCGAGTTTACATCGAAAACAAAACACGCACGATGGCCCACCTACAGGATACTATTCGACAAGGCCTCACATACGAGCGAACATTGACTCACGCACGCGTATTCTTATGTATGATGGAAGAAAATAAAGAAAATGGTGTACTAAATACTGTGCAGTATTTAACTGCCTAAATAATAATAAAAACACAGAATGTACTTTTATAAGTTGCCTCAAGACACTGAGAGGTAAATAAGTAGTTAATATTATTCATGATAACTCATGCTAAATCAGGCTAAATCATGTATTTCCTCCGCCATTTTCCGCAGTTTGGCACCTCACGTCACATCATTTTACCGAAGTCAGCCCTATAGCTTCGGCGCAGTGCCGATCACTGACGTTTGTCAACAAAATGGTGCTTGACTCTTTAGACAGGCTAAATTACACCATATTGTTAATGACATTGAGCATACATCTTTTTAAAGACCTTCGAGAAGTAAAACTTCTGTACGTAGTACTTATTATTATTCTGTGATAATACTGCCTCGGTGACAAGTCACCCGTGCACGCGCTCCCTATAGATAACATTTAAAACACTCACATTCTCAATACTCTTGAAGTATTGTTGTTAGTTTTGTTTGTGTTAAAAAAAGTAACAATACTTTTCTCTCTACTGTAACTCTTCAGCGATGCAATGGCACCCTGTTTAGAACTTATTTTGATTTTGAGTTCTTTACAGATTTGTTTCAACTCATCACCATTCAGCAAAGAAGTGTAGTCTTCAAAGGACAGACTGTTGCCTGAAAAAATATCAAAAATTAACGAATTTGAAATAAGATATTCTACAATCAACTATTTAACTTGTGCTAAGTGCCAATTAACAAACAGATCTAAAAAAATAAATAAATGAGAAATACAGGATTTCAAAATTCAATGATAAAAAGATGTATGATAAAAGGCTAATTACTTTTTAACTTACCATCTGAAGTCAGAAAGCCATTTTCTTCCAAAGACTGGAGCACCTCATGCAAGGTAGGATCATCAATTTCCTCATTTCCAGCAAGTATAAATTTGAGTTTTTCCTTCTTGTACCAGCCTTCTTTGTGCCAGTAGAGTCGGCATACCAGCCTCATGCCAGGTTTCACAACATGCATACATCTTAATAGCAAACTTTGAGACTCTTCGTCAAGTAAATGCCAAAGGGAGTTGTTATTCTTACACTTATTGACTATACTCAATAGAAATATGGCTGAAAATATTAAAAATAAATAAGATCTTTGTATTTGCTATTAGTCATATGTATCTGATTGCTTAGTTAATGAAAATAAATATTTACATATTGAATAAATAAAGATAACTTACTTTTATCATCCAGTCCTAAACAAGCATTGTGAAATAGTTCATCATTGTTTACTTCATCATCATTTTTAAGCAGCTGTTTCCTTACTGATACTTTTTTTTTAAACACAGCTCTTTTCTTATTTGGTGAAAAATATTTGTTTGCTGATGGAGGGCTTTGATATACTGAAGGTGCAGTAATGGTAGGTGTTTGTTGAGCTTTGGTAGGAGTTTGTGGTGAATAAATTATAGTATTCTGTGAAGAGTCCGTATCATTTCCATCACTCTTTTTGGGAGTTTCAAATTCGTTTTTTATGCTAATTTCATCTTCATATGTAAGCAAATTCACTATTCCATGCCCTTTTTTGTCATTATTTGCTATAAGCTTACTAGCAGCCTCCATATTTTGCACATCAATCAGTTCGTGTGCATTACGTTTTGGCGGTGTAATGTTATCACTTGTCTGACCTCTGAGATCGTCATCATCCTCGTCACTGCACAAATTTATGACCTCTCGATCGTTTTTATGAGGAGTCACTTTAGGAGCCTTGGACGGAGTAACAGATTTTCTTAAAGATAGATTACGTTTTTTACCAACTTTGGTTAGTTTATGATCACTATTCATGATAGATTTGCTCGGAAGTGGTGAAATAACACTTGATTTTGACTTGTTGAAATACACATCGAGCGAAAGTTGTTTACTCATGTTGCTTCACATTTATGAACTTGAATGAATTACTTTACCACCAAGTAATTGTCTAGCTAGAGACTGAGAAAAAGAGTAATTAAAAACACGTTTCGGTTAGTAAATAAAGTAATCGGTAAACTGCGGTAAACATAGCGCGTAAAACACACACAAACAGATACTGACTGACATTGACAGAACTTTGACAGTGACGTCTATGTTTTTAAAATTTTAAATTACGGCTTGGAGATAATGAATATAATCGTGTAAGTGACACTCCATGGACGCGAAGATAGTCCCCTTCTTTAATCTAGATGGCCACATTATTAATATAATAATTTCATAATTATAAAGTGAAATCAATACAATTTATTTGAGAATTTTGGAAGAAAAACTTCGAATAAAAATGTCCAAGGAATATAAAAGATTTTCAGTTTGTCGATTGAGTGAAATGGGCCGAAGAACTAGCAATAAAACTAAACCGGTGAATATATTAATTTTAAGTAAATAACATATTCCATAATAATCGAATTACTTTAAAAAGCCCTAAATTCTACCAAAAAAACACAAGTTACATGTTCCCACCCAGCGCCTTGTATACAGAGAATAGAGACCGAGGGTACCTACTTCTTGTATTAGCGTGTAAGACTGCTAAATTAGGACCAAACTTAGGTGTATTTGGAACAATAGGACCCATTGTCTCCTATTTTGTTAGCAAGTACACACTTAAACCTAGTCCGCAACTTTTTTTAGTAACCACTCTTTAATAAATATTGATCAAACTCTATCAAACTACTCACTACAACATGTCGGAAACTCAACCAGATACTACTAAACAGGTTCGGACTTATCAACCGACGTACCAATTGAATCCCAGAAAACGTTTTAGTGAAGAAAGAGTTCAAAAAATACTAAAAGAACTGGTAGACACCGAGCTAGCGGAAGCCGAATACAGTGAAAAGACTGTTCCTGATTTAACACTCAGCTTAACAGAAACTGTACGAAACGCCATAAAAGAAGAAAACTTTAACAGGTAAGTGTGACAGAATCTTCGCTTGACATAATTACGTCACATTATAATGTCAGAGTGCACTTCGTAAACAAATAATGCACAACGAAAAACGAAAAAGCCCTAGCTATAGAGTTATGCGCATCGCATAGTATTATAGCAGGGGCTCAGAAGACGAAAATGATGTACATATTACCATTCTTGGCTGGAATGTCCGCATTATCTTGTTTTTATTGTTATTGCTGCAGACGAAAGTGTTAGAAAATCAAACTAGTGAAATGGTGGGTTCTTTTTAAACTACTATGATGTACTACCTTTTTACAATAAATAATGACACACAAAACCTACGTGGACACGAACCAAAGTGGACATTGTGTCCAGGACACAATGTCCACTTTGGCCTCGAAATTTTCGGTAATGGTTAGTTGAACGCACGGACTAAATCAATAAATCCGGCACGAAGGACCATGGACATTTCGCGACCAGTGGGTGCCCTTAATTAATACCTGCTGGTTGAAAATTAAGTTAAGATTTTGCTGTAATGTAGTGTCTGTAACCGACTGAAGTCTTAACATAGATGGGTTACATGATAATAAAGATTCAGTAACATTCACTCTTATCATTCATAATTACTAAGAATACTTACATTATTACTAAAAGTCTTCTAAAAGACATAAGATGGGTTCTATTGAATCTTCATTATCACCAATCATTTTGCCTCCATCACCTACATGAGGGTATTTCTCCTGCGATACACTAAATGACCTATTGATGATAACGAACGAGTAATCACCAGATATTTACGCAAAGATCTTTTGAAAAATAACGATCATCGTCCATTTTTGCAGGTACCGGATAATAGTGGTGGTGACGATCGGCCAGCAGCGGCAGCAAGGCGTGCAGATGTTCCACTCGTTCCTGTGGGACCACGAGCGGGACATGTTCGTGACCACCAACTTCGAGAACCCGCACATATTCGCGAACGTCGTCGTCTACGGTGTCTATTTAGATTGATCATGGTCCAATAAATCATAACAGTACCTAACTATCGCAGCATTGATTTTATTCTATCGCTCCTAATGTAGGTAGTAAGTAGGAACTGCATTTCAAGGGTTCCAAGCCTTGTTCCACTCGTTCCTGGGACCACGAGCGGGACATGTTCGTGACCACCAACTTCGAGAACCCGCACATATTCGCGAACGTCGTCGTCTACGGTGTCTATTTAGATTGATCATGGTCCAATAAATCGTAACAGTAGGTAACTATCGCGGCATTAATTTTATTCTATCGCTTCTAATGTAAGTAGGAACTGCTCAACTGCATTTCAAGATTTTCAAGGGTTCCAAGCCTGTTCGACCACTAGCGGGACTGCATGTTAGTGTCCACTAAATTCTGGAAACTGGAACCGGCATTTCGCGAATGTCGTCATCTACGGTGTCTATTTAGATTAGGGATGTTGCGGATCCACTTTTTTCCACATCCGCGGATGCGGATGCGGATGCGGATGCGGATTTTAAGAGGCTCACATCCGCGGATGCGGATGCGGATGCGGATCTGTACAAAAAACTTAAGTGTTGGCTTAGTAGAGAAAGAAACACAGCCTTATTTATCATTTTTTATTTAATAATAAAGTAGAGAATGAATTACTTTTAGTATATAATTATTATATAACTTAATAATTAAATTTGAAAAACTGTCTTAAACTACACTTTTAGCTAAATTTTAGTTCATATGACAAATCTAAGATTTTGGATTCAAAATTCAGTTTACGCAACTCGTAGGAACGGCCCTTATTAAAGAAATTACAAGTTTTTAAATAGCTACCTATATAATTACCCAAAACTACTATAATATCATAAGGATAAATCAGCGATGTCAGACAATAATAAACGCCCGACTTAACAAAAAAAATATTGCATAAAATATAACTTACCGGCATCATTTTTTATTTTCTGTAGCTTTTCGTTATTTGCTTTTTCAAACAAAGCAAACTCCTTAGCGTGCATTGATTTCAAATGATTTATTAATGACGATGTTGTTCGGCCCTTTCGCGAATATGTTTTGTTACATATTTTACATTGCGATTTCTCCCGGTCGTTGTCCACAGGTTTGAAATACGTCCAAATTTCACTTTGCGTAGGTGTTGGCATAGTTCACTTATCCAAATAGTAAATAAAACTTTACTTAAGGTTCGTAATACGAATGAAGGTATTACGTATTATGTTAAATTGTTCTTAACAAAAACCACAATAAAATCAAACGTACGCTTCAGTTCTTGTCACTTGTCACAACTACTCACTAGTAATTACAACAAAACAATAGCAAGACGCGCCACCGTCACCGATTCACTGAGGTCCAAAAACAAAAATCATTGCTTTCCTATTGGTCAATCAACACATTCGGTTGACGCGCGCCACTCGCCGGGACTGCCCCTTTCTTTCTTGTCGCGACCTGCTACAAATCCGCATCCGCATCAGATCCTCGTCGATTTATGCGGATGCGGATGCGGATGCGAATGTCAAAATCAATGCGAATGTTCCGCATATGCGGATGCGGATGCGAATATTCGCAACATCCCTAATTTAGATTGATCATGGTCCAATAAATCGTAACAGTATGGTAACTTCAGTTTATTTTCTCACTCTTAACCTAACCTAATGTAGGTACTTAAGTAAGTAATCGCGGTCAAGAAACCTTGACAAGGGTTACAAGATCTTACTAAATATTTTTGGTGTGAATTATTTTTTACATTTCTTTAGTGATAGGTATGTTGTGTATTGTACTGTGACGTTTCATTCGTCTTGACTTGCAAGAATCAAAGGCCTAAGCATATTAAAAGAATCTCATCAAAATCTGTTCAAATGAACATGCAAGTAGTTCCTCAAAGACTGAGAAAGACTGGTTTCTAAATTATGTTTGCAACTGTGTGCGTGTGTACCTATGCTTTATGTTATGAGGGGAAGGGATGATAAAAAATAAAGACTCACTTAAGCATTTTTACAGATCATACATATTTATTTATCCATTTCATAGTATAGATATCACACTGGCCCGCCCTTATAAAAATAAATGTGTTAATACAATAACGACCCAGTCTGTGGAGCTGGCTGGCGTGACGGCGCGAGTTAACCCTCTTTCCTAGATATTTTAATATTGGCATCATTCGATACTAACCTACAACAATTTGGACACAATCACCAACGGCGCGGTCACCCCAGCTCTCAATCACTATTGAATTCCATCAAATATCCTTATAGAAGAAAATTCAGAGATAATTCTAAACCATTATACAGGTCGATATACACATGATTCAATAATATATGTTTACATTACAAGAAATTCGCACATATTTGACACACAAAGCGAAGGATTACCGATAAGGAGACTAAAATAGCTTTAAGATATTGGTCCGAGACACTGAAGCGAGTTGTATCCGCGCACAATACGAAACTAGCACCAAGCCACTGTACGAACAAAGCCGCGGCCGCCTCCTGAGTCCTGACTGGCAGGCGGGGGCGGCCATGCAACGGAACGCCGCGCGCGCGGCCGGCGCAAGCCATACGGACGCTGGACAGTGCACTCACGCTAACTATGCTCTCGCAAAATTGTTCAAAAAGGGTAAAATTTTTATAAAAATTCTAAAGAGTTAACCGAGTCAGCCATTCAGATAGAGCATAATTGCGTCAGCACAGAGTGGTTGAGCAGTGTTGGGGGAAGTGGAGTTTACTCCGGAGATCCGGACTACATTCAGCCTCTCAGAGTTACATTTTACATCCGCATGATATGTGTTACACAGATAAAACGTTAAAGTACTGGGTACATATACCTATAACCATACTGTACATATATGGCGGTAAAAGTTACTTACAACCTTACGAAAATTAAGAGTAGGTAAATATATACTAGGTATATCAAAAGAAATGCAGTGAATATTGGTATCAAAATATTATTCCTAATTATAAGTTGTGTGAAAGTGTACGTCGATTAGATATGTGATATTTGTGTAAAGATACATAAAAAAAGCTTTATACGAGACCTCGTTACATCGTTTGGTAATACAAAAATATTAGAAATATCCATAGATGATTCGATTACATGAGTTACAAGACCTTATAGGTAGCCACAAAATACTCGTCGATAGTGTTTCTACAGTCGCCCAGCCGGAGGCGACCCCGGCCGACTTTGAGCCTAGACGGACGATCTTCCGGTGCGTTTAAATAAATTCCGTGAACTCTTCTTAACTAGAAAATAATTTACAAAATCTCTAAGTATAAAAAATATAAAACAATCATATATTTTAGGCTCAAATTAAAAATAATATGTCATGTAAAGGCAGCATAAAAATACTTACCGCAAAACATCTAGCATACCTACCACAAAATATCACACGCAAGGATTCGATCGAGGGGCGCGGGCCCGGGGCGGGTGTGGTCTCGTGGGGCCAAATTTTAAACATTTACTAATAAAATATTAAAGCTTAACATACATAAAGATTAAGCATCTCTGCATCTTAGATATATAATAGCCATTCAAAATAACTGCAGATTAAAATATCTCATCTTAAAAATAAAGTCTTAAACGTTAAACTATAATAAAAGACTCGTAATTTCAGAAACGATACCTAACTTAGGCCAAACGTACAAAATAAAACTGTTTTAAAATTATAAAATTCATTGTTAATTTCGCTGTCGAAAATCGAATGTGGTTACCATAATTTATTTTTTCACGAAAAAAAAAATCAATGTGATAAACTAAGGACTAAACTAAGATGGCTACGACATGGTTCGATCGTAGCAGCCGGGTGGGTGTCGTGGTGAGATGAGATCGAACGACGTCGTATTCCGAGTAACGAAACGTAATGCGGCGGATGCGCGGCGCGGCCGCGGCACCTCTCTGTAAACAGCAGCTTCTCTCTAAAATATAATCAATTGGCGGTGGTTTGTCTGTTCAATCCTCGGCGGACGCAATTCAGCTAGACTCCTTCTCCTTCGACTCTGAAATTAAAATTCATACTTAATTGCAACATCCCAATGCACACATCTCATTACAATCTTTCATTTTCAGCTTAAAAAATCTCACTCTGAAAAAATAGACTCGCTAGCTATACTATAAAATGCCTTCTAAAATGCATCAATTATTTCAATACATAGATAAAATATGCACAAATAGAGCAAAATGCAATAAATACATGTATTATGCATTATTAGATAGATATAGTTACGTATTCAAATATATTTTTCAAAAAACTTATTGAATTAAAAGGGTAACTTCACGCGAAGATAATAGACCCGATACGTCTCATGACCAAGCTGGCTAAACGACTTAAACAGCCTTTAGAAAATGCTTTTAGATTTTACATTACTAAAGAAATTTAGTTTCAGATTCACTGGGCGAAAAGTCTATGACCAACACAGTAGGCACTGCGGCCTTTTTGAAAATTTCTGAGGCGTAGGCCAATAATTTTCCATACCAAACCACTAACATTTTATTAAATAACCCTCCTTCTGGCGCAGTCGGGTAATGAAATCAACACAGTTAATTTAATTTTATAAATGGCGGCGCAAATCGANTAAATGGATCATTGGTAAGGACGGGTGATTTGTGATCGAGGTGCTTAGTTTATAATTTTGCTGGTTTTGTGCAAAAATAATTGTAACAAACTAAACAAATACAAAGCTAAATATATACATGATTTAAACCTACACAATCGTTAATTAAGGCATCACGTCAATTAAATGTGTACTCAAATAAAATGCAATGAATGTGTATGTAGCCGCAATAAGTTTGCAGTGCTGGAACGCAATGATTAAATTCTAACAAATTGAGTACAATTAAAATGTTATACTATATGATTTAGGCCAGTGGACAACCGTGACGAGTGAAACTGAAAATAACGACGCTAATTACAATTACAATTTCTATAAAAGCAATTAGTCTAAAGGCTGCATATAATATAAATGTATCATTTCGTCGCCTATAAGCCGTCGATATAATAGCGTTTAGCCGTACGTGCGTGCGCAGTACAATTATAATAAACTAGGTGGCATGCTACATTTTCAAAATTTATCGCTATGGATCTGTAGAAGCGGACTCTTTCTACAAATTATAGAATCGTTTAGAAATTGAGAAAGTAATATTGATGTAACAGAATTGATACGGCTAATGATGCGATCAATACTGGTACGTTGTTTTATATAATAGTCTTAAATGTTCATTATATGTTATTAAATAAATAACATACCATCTAATTATTTATATAATACTGAAGATTTAACAAATTCTTT